GCAGTACGACGCTGGCCATGAGGTTGCGCAATACAGCACGAACCCTGCACAATGAGGTTGCGCTATGCGGCTTCGATGCTGCGCGTGCGCGCCCGGCAGCCTGACATAGCGCGTACTGCGTTCACAGACCATATTGCTCGACACCAACGAGCATCGATGCAACACAGCCTCTCTGCAAAGCCCTGTGGAGAAACCTCTCGCTTCGCGGAGCACCATTCGACTCAGCCTTATACCCTCGCGTGGCGACATCTTACCGCATCGTCGTGGAGCACCACTACACAGCTATTTGCTATTATGCACCCTTCCCATCAGCCACCCACCATAGCGTGACGTCCATCCCTGGCAGTACCGGCGGCTGCGACGCAACGCGTGCAGGCCTGTAATCCTGACGCAGTGCGTGTAGCTGTGGGACCATAGCTGGTTAACATGCGAACGTTTACGCATTGCGACTTTTACGCGGGCCTGTTTTCACACACCTTTACACAAACGAGCGTCGACGCAACGCAGCCTCTTTGCAGAGCCGGGTGGCGCAATCTGATCGCAACGGTGTTCCTCTTGAGCCTTCTTGTGCTCTTTGGCTTTGTTGGTTTCATCCATGACTGACCAAGGGGAACGTCACCAGAAAAGGTCCCGACAGCTACCCGGTCCGTCTCTACCTTTCGTGTTTCCCCGCTCAAGTGGATATGATTGGCACCCCTCCCTCCACCACCATGTTCCCCAAGCTTGTTGGAGGTCATTTGTCCTTTTGGCCGTTTTTGGAAAGGAGTTGTTGGCGTGTTCAGCAGTTGAACAGATGCGCTGCTAAGCATAACTTCAGGCATTTTCTCTACCGTTCAGGACAGAAGTGAGCAGGCGACCACCAAGCTCTAAACGATCTCCAGCAAGAAGGCCAAAGGCTGCAGAGGATTTGAGGGGCTTGGAACGCTCGAAACCTGACCCCAAGAAGGGGCGCAAGGAGCCGGTCAGATCTAACGGGCGCGGCCGGTATCGCTCACCCTCTCGCCAAGCTGCGTCGGACTCCAGGGACTCCCGGCGTCGCCCACGTCAAGGGCGAAGAGACGAGTCGCGGGAACCACGTCGCAGCCCTCGACGGGGACGACGGAGGCGAGATTCGCGAGACTCGAGGTCCAAGTCACGTGCGGGCGATGCGGATAAGGAAAGCCGACGTTGTTCACGTGAGTGGAATCGTCTTTATGCCAGTGGTGTTGCTGACCAAGAGCCACCCAAAGAAGAGAGCAAGAAGAGGAAGGCTGCTAAGCCTGACACAAAGAAGACAGAGGGCAAAAAGGCCAAGCAAGCAGCTCAAGACAACGGTGAGCCTCCAAAGAAGGCCAAGCGAAAGAAGCAAGCGTCTGACGCTAGTGGCTAAGAGCATGCAATGACGCAGAGTCAAAAATGCAACGTTGTGCAACTTGCTATGTACTGCTTGTCATGACTGTGATGTGTATAGTACTGAACGCTGTTCCAATTGGTGCTTGGACTGATTGAACGCTTGTTGCAAAATGCGCCTGAATTGTACAACGGCAAATTTGATCAAATTTGTGCGTTTTCTGACGATTTGGCTCTATTCTGTAATTGTTGTCCGATGTTGTACGGAGGAAGATTTCATACCTCATCAACATGTTTTTGACTGCATGAGTTCAGTTTTACTTCGGAAACAGAGTGTGCCTTCCCGGAGTTCCCGACTGTGACATCGGTCGAAAGCATCATTGACAAAACACTCAATCAGCATCCCCTTCCGTAAAGTTGGCACAGCCACACCATGGTAGCCAACCGCTGTTGACACTATCACTCTCCTGGGCTGAATTGGCGATGGTTCGCTCAAATTTCATCCAAATTCTACTGAACTCAAAGGGCAGAGAAGCAACTCAGCCTTCATAGCCGCATGGAGTTGAATACATTGCATTAGGAACCTTGCTTGGAGATTGTGGGAACAACTTGGCGTGTGCATGTGACAATTTGCGCCGTCATGCACTGTATGCTCATGGATGCAAGCTGGCATGGACGGAGAGGATAGTTCCTGCCACGAGAAGTTCTATGAAGCACCTTGGAAGCACACCTTTCAGAAGACGATCCACCCTGTTTTTGAAGTAGCAGTGCAGTCAACTCACAAAGAATTGTACTGGGGCACATGGGGCCCTTTTCAATTTGCGTTGGACAGTCATTGACAGTCATTGACTCCCTAAATTGTGTTGTTCTGCCAGGCAAGCATCAGCGGTTATGAGGATGCAGGTGCCCTGATTCTGTTCATGAGCTGTTTGAACACATTCTGGAAACTGGAAAGAGAAAAGGGGTGTTCTAGAACTTTCTCGTCCCTCGACCCTCAATCTTTTGAGAGAAACAATGTTTTTTGCCGCCCTGGGTCTTTGGACGACAACAACTTAAAACCATCATTTCTCATTGCTCAGATTGCTCAGTGCAGGGGCAGGATATGGCATTTCATGGCATTTGACCGAGAGTCCTCAGCCTTAACATGCCTCAACCTTTTCAACAAGACACAAACATGGATCAACAGTTCTCTGCATTGCCCTGCTTCCTCCTATGTTGAACAAGTGCTGTCAGCTGTGGAAAACACCATGAATACCTCAGGCTCAAAGAACAAGAAGTACAAACAAAAAAAAGGTTTGTAATTGTATATCGTATTTTTTAGACATGTCCAGTTTACATTACATTCGACTTGGGATATTCGACTTAGGCGAAGCATACCCTCTGAAAATGCTACTACTTTAGTCTTCACACCGCGCGAAGCATACCCCCGAAGCATAGTCCCATAGTCAAACATCCGGGCCCGGGAACGTTAACAAATACACTGATATGGTTCCATAAAACAATTCACTTGAATCAGTTCGAGGGTACCTGTCGACGGCACCCTTTTGAACTTTATTTTGTTTGTGGGATATGGTTTGATACAAGTTTAAATATCTAATTTTGGTCGGGGTCAGCTGGGTCTTAAAATGGACAAGCAGCAGGTAGAAGCAGGAAGCAAGCAACGCTACTGTAAATCATGCAAAATCAATAGTTCAGTGCGGAATTCTAAGGAGGGGGGCATACTATTTACTATTTGGAAAGGATGGAAGGGGACATTGGACAGAGGAAGAGCATTTCAGTTTTTCCAGTGGTCACTTGGGTAGAGTTCAACTTTTTAATTCACAGAAACTTTTGGATAGTCCATCCACAAAGTGTTTTCCATGGTCCAAACGAATGGCACACAATGCCTTGAGAGAATTTATATACTTTCCCATTTGTCGTGATCTAACGTGAAGGAAGACAACACCCAAGACATTTGCAAGCTGAGCGCCGAAACAAGATGCCAGGTGGACACATTGAATATTCTATCAGTTTGTCCCATTGCAGTGGTGTCTCCTGGAGCCTTTGGCGAAGGTTTTCGGAGTTCTTGCAGCTGCATGAGGAGATGCTATTGGGAAGTTTTGGGTGGGATACGGTGTCTTAGTTTGCCGCAGAGATGTGATGGGCCTTTGTTCATAGTTCTGACCCGCCGGTTCCTTCACGTTGTGGCTTTGGGAAAGCCGAAGCAGTTAGGTGAGCATGATAGCATGTGCAAGATTAGTCAGTGATGGCCAACAGCCCGACATAAACCTGAAGCCCCCTCCACCCGTTGCATGCTTCACCTTTGCTGGGCCTTCGCAGTGGCCCTCCCCGTGCAACGTTTGGAGGATCTCCTCCTCCGTTGCACGGCAGACGAAAACCAACTCCCCGAGGGACCTGAGACACTTGGCTTGGTTAAGCAAGGACGCTACTAGTAGCAAGGTGCATTGCTAGCAGCAAGGACACTACTAGCATTACTAGTAGTAGCAAGAAGCTACTAGTAACAAGGTGCATCGCTACTAGGAACAAGTGACAAGTGCATTGCTATTAGTAGCTATAATTTGCTACTAGTAGCTCCTTGCAAAGGCGAATCGTTGAACTGATCGACTTTAGGGGACGATTTCCGAAGGATGCAGTGACCGTTGCCAAAGTCAATTCCGCGATCCTTCGCAAAAAGCAATGCATGCATAGTATACAATAACATGTGTATAAGTTATGTCATTAACATCGTATAACGCATGTTGAAATCAGCTTGGAAAGGCAACATTGTTTTGGGTCCACTGTAATCTCTCCTGGAGTGCATGACTTGTTGAATTCTGCTTGCTCCCTTTGTTTTTTTGACTATTGCTTGACTTGAAAGCGTGGGCGTACGTGTCACCGTCACTCCATCCTGTGAGGAAGTCGTGGATGCCTCCATTCTCCCAGTCTTTGTTGGTGGAGTTCTGCAAACAGCGAGAGGTTGAACTTGGTGGCTACTTGAAGTGCCTTGGTCTTGCTGTTTGTTTGGGAACTTGTTCCCAGGCGAGGGCTTTGCTTTGATGCGAGACTGCACCATGAAAAAGCGGAACCTCCAATATGCATGTCTGGGGGCGGCTTGTGTTTGATCATATCTGACTAGCAATTACAAGAACACGTGTTGCAGTGTTGCATGATATGTTTAATACATGCCGATGTGTAAGACCCAGGCTCCAATGTCGGCTGGCCGCGTTTAGCTGTAGATTCTGTAGATAGCCCTTTCATATTTGGACTTTTGGAGCGCAAAGAGGCGGCCGAACTCGACAAAGAATTAATTGGATACCTGATGTAGAGGAACTACTAACTACTGCATCCTGTATCCCTTTTGAACTTGCAGCACGAACATGCTGCATTTTGGAGCTTAACTCGTTGCTGGGACGATGCAGCTCCTAAGCGCAGGAAAGCTATCATCAACACGGGTGCAACTAACATGGTCTTTGAAAGGTGGGGTGTAGGGCACGGGATGAGCTTTTCCAGTCCTGGGTTGTATCTTTCTTCCTTTCTTTAAGCCTTTTTTTGCGCCACAACGCAGCATGGACTCACTGAAGTCTTTGCGAAACAACAGAAGTTCAGAAGTTCATTGTTCTTTGAATAAGCTTTGACTGGCTTCTGACCTGAGGTCTTTTTAATGTGCTTCAGTAGACCGGTGAATTAATCAAGATTGCATGTTCACACCACTTTTGACCTCTTAAATCAGCTTGTGGCGGCCCAGGAAGCTTTTATCTACTCCAGAGCTTCTGAAGATGAAGCCGTTGGCCGAGTTTTTGGGCCTTCGATCTCCTGAGTCACCTGCAGGCTTGCGTGTGGTGCCCCGTGCCAGTGGCTTGGAACTGGAGGTCACCCCTCCTGACGTGGACCCTTGGAACTGCAGTCGGGGCACGTGGGGCTTTTGTTCCTGTAGGTGTTGCCCACAAGCCAATTGGAATGCATTAAAACTTGTTTCTAATAGCTTCTTGTTACTACTAGTAAGGCACTTGTTACTAGAAGCGATGCACTTGTTCCTAGTAGCTGTGTATATATATATATATATATCGACAAATACGACAAGGCAGCTGATCTGTTCCACAAACTTTAGGCTCCGGGAGACACTTCTCGAGAGTGTGCTTGGACAACTTTCTGCAACGCGAGGAAACTTTCCCTTCTGCAAGATCAGAGCTGGGAGGCACTAACCTCGGCTATTTTTTTGGAATAACTCATGACCATTGTGCCGACCATGCTAGCAAAGGGGGATGTGACACTACCTCAGGCCCTGTGGACGGCTATTGGATTGAGATTCTCAACTTGGAGACCGGCAACAAGCATGTTGGCAAGATCTCAGTGCACTCTCCAGGTTGCCATCAAACGGCCTGAGAAACTGGATCCCTGCTCAGGAAAGAACCGTTAAAGACAGGCTGCAAAACCGCAATACTCAGAACTATACAAGTCTATGCACTGCCTTTCGGAGAGCCAGGGGGACTTATTGTCACATTTTGTCACCACGTTCTCGTCCAATGATCAAGTCTCTTTGACAAGACGCGGTGGCGCTTGTTTTGTTTGTGCACATTGCACAGCACTTCTTGCTTCCCTCGCCGATTAAGTGTTTGTTTTTGCAAGCTTCCACGCACCCGTGGACATGTTTGCACCGGTGGCACTCCAGTTAGGGGTCCTCCAGTTTAACCTGTGATCCTGTGCACTTTCTGTTGTCACTTTCCCCCAGCCATCTACAAGAGATGTGGATTTACAGCAGAATGAATTTGAAACCGTCAGTAGCCCGTATGGAGAGAGAGAGAGAGGGAGTAATTGAATAGCTAGTTGATATTACATAGTGATTTCTACTTTGGTAGGCTTGTGGAGTCATGTGCAGTCATGCCAAAGTGCTCAACGCCTACAAGGCATCGCTTGAAGCGAGAGGTCGGCACCTCTGGGCGCCTGATGCAGACGGCACGTGTGGGACGCTTGGAGGCTGGGCGACACTGCTTCGCATGTGCTGCCTTCAACGTAGCTGGCTGCTCAAGCCCTGTCTCCGTCACTGTGGATCCAGCTGTTGCT